TTAGCCCCAGCTACTCAGGAGGCTGAGGCCAGATGATCACTTGAGCCCAGGAGTTTGAGGCTACAGTGAGCTACGATCAAGCCACTGCACTCCAGTCTGGGCAACGGTGAGACCCTGTCTCTACAAAAAGAAAAAATGGTTATTGACTTAAAGAGTGCACAGCAGCCTAGGGGATCAGGCCCATCCTCAGAAGGTATTGCCTGTGTGCTGGCGCTTTCATTGTGCCTAAAAAAGGCTGTTCCATTGCTCTGCCAGGCCGACAGCTTCTGAGTGGTGTGGGGTGTGATATGACCAGTGGGTGTCATAGCCTTGTGCCCACTCCCACATCTTCTTTATTGTAAAATGGGTTCCTTAGGCTGACGTAGCCTGACATGGGAACCCAGTGGCTCAAACAAGGAAAGCAGGAAAGGCAAATCCATACCCAGAATACACATCTATTTCTTATCACAGTGAATGTTTACCCTTGTTATGACATGGCCAAGTGTGAACTGTAGCTCACAGCCTCCACCCAGCATCATGAGAGAGCATGGTACCACATATTGCTAGCCTGGGAAAAGATAAAAACTCAAATTTTGGTTTCTACTGAATGCATATTGCATTTGCATCATCGCAAAGTTGAAAATCGTAAATTAAACCATAGTTAAGTTGGGGACTGTCTGTGTATGATGACACAGGGTGAGAGAATTAACATAGCTCTAGGGCAAGACCAAAATGTATACTGTTGTCTGCTCCCAGTGAATAGAAACTTTCTGATCCTTTCTGTTTGGGATGGGAAAAAGACAGCTTTCACCAGCCAGTGACCACATGCCATATGCTTGAGACAACGCTTATCTGTCTAGTAAAGACACACCTGGCACAGCAACTGCATCCAGGGTTACTACTCAGCTAAGTTTACAACAGTTCGTTCTCACCCTTCAAAATGCATCTCATGTTTGTAGCAGCCAGATTGTCGGATGAAATGAAAATACAGTGACCCACTTCCCCCAGCACCCTTTAGGTCATGATTTCTGCCCCCTTCCCTAGCTGCAGGGTTAGTTTCAAAGTCATCTCCTCAGCCCTCCCATGCCAAGTTCTTACCCACAGGCCAAAGAACCAGCAGGGGGGTTATGCCAATATCCCTGTATGTCTGTTCCAGTGACACATTCAGGAATCAGGAAATTGGCCACTGAGTGGGTCCAAGTGTGAGCTGAGTCTGAGCCAAGACTCCAGGTGTCACTTGGCCTCAGATGCCCCCACTCTGACAGGGGACTCTCGATGACTCTGCATCTCCTGGTTTCATTCTCAGCTTCCTCAAAATGTGTGGGTTTTCCCTTTCCCCAGTGGACAGTTACCTGAGTAATGGCTGTAGGTTCCTTTGCAAAAGAGTGGGGGAATTATTGCCTTCGCTGTTTGGTGCTGCAGCATTCTTCTTCCTGAAGACTCAGCCAGCCTCTTCTTCAGTCAATAGGGTTTCAGTCTGAAAGCTGGCTTGGATCCAGGAACCGGGCATGGACTCATGACTGATTATGGAGGTATCTGCCCTCAGCCCCCTCAGCCGTCCTTGAATTATTCTGATGAACCAGATTGAGTAGCCCACGTGTTGGTATTCATCCATTTCACCCAGGGAGCCCTCATTCAACAAACCATCCCCGTAACTAACCAGGTA